GGTAGTCTAACTTCAATTGACTCATGATCTCAACCATTAAAATATTTATTACTTAAAAGTCAATTTATCTTGTTATAATTTATTTTCGAAAAAAATTTATCATCTCTGTTCAATGTTCAAGAATATTTGAATTTTTCTATTGTTTTACAATATTTATTTATTTTTAACTTTATGTAATCACAATATAAATAAATGATCTTTATTCAATCAATAGTTATGTAATTTTTTATGTGCTAGAATAGATTATACATATTTTTTTCTTTCAAGTGAAATATCTAGTTATACAAAATATCACTATAAAATGATTACAAAGATTATCATTATACTCTAGTCTATGGCATGATCTATTGTATGTATCACTAAATGATTAATAAACTAAATAAAATCATTCAGTTAAACAATCATAAAATATTCTATTGAATTATATCTTTAATGTTGAATATACAGTTGAAAATGACTTTACATTACATAATACTCATTGAATAAGATAATTTATAAGTTAAAGATAAAATATCATTTTGTTCTACTATATTACTAATGGATTTATGAGACTATGATCATTACGATTCAACTCAAAGTATGGTACAATATCAGTATTTAGCTAGATCAGCTGATTATTTCTTTGAATTAGTTCATATAGCATAGACTGTCTAGTGAAATATTGAAAATATTTTAGTTGTAATCAGTGAGAGTTGTATACATTTAATTTCACTTTAAATGTATTTTGTTTACACTGTGTTTAGTTCTTAAAACTTCAAAAAAAGTCTTAATGCCATACTAAATTGCTTAAGTGGTCAAGAATTGTACGATAAGCTTGCCCCCAATACTTATGTAACTGGAATTAAAAACTAATCCAAATCGCAACACTATAGATCATCGTTGAACAATCAGTTGAATGGAACTCATCACTGTACATCAGCTTCTTTGATTATGAGAAAGCATATGACAGAGTGAATAGGAGAATCTTGTAGAACCTTCTTTGATACAATGGAGTGGGTAGCTGAAAAAATCATCAGCATCATCCGAAATTCATACGATGGACTACACTGCAAATGTTTGCACAGAAGACAGCTGACTGAAATATTCCAAGTGAAGATCAGACACAGACAAGGCTCCTTACTTTCCCCTTTTATCTTTCTTCTGGTGGTTGACTGGATTATGAGGACCTTGACATACAATGCAATGGACAGCTTGGATGCAACTAAACGATATGGACGTCACAGATGACCTGGCCTTTCTATCTCATACACAACAAGTGATGGAGGTCAAAACAAACAGTGTACCAGCAGTTTCTGCATCAGTAGGCCTCAACATACACAAAGGAAGAAGTAAGATACCCGAATACACTACGGAGAATACCAACCCAATCACACTTGATTAAGAGACTCGGTAATAGGTGATATATTTCACGTATCTGGATATTATGATCGATGAACAAGGTGGATCAGATGTAGATGTAGAGGCACGGATTAGCAAAGCAAGGACAGCAGTCCTACAGTTGATGAACATATGAAACTCAGAGCCACCGTCAATAAATACTAAAGTCAGAATCTTTAATACGAACGCAAAGAGAGTTATACTGTACGGAGCTTAAACTTGAAGAACTACTACATCCATCGTCAAAAGATGTAGTTATTTATAAACAATTGTCTACACACGATACTCAATATCTGTTGACCGGATACCATCAGCAACAGCCTACCGCTGAGAGAACATATCAAGTTCCATCTGAAAAGGAAATTAAAAAAGACATTGGAGGTGGATAGAACATACATTACGAAACTCATCAAACTTCATCACGAAACTAGCACTAACTTAGAATCCTGAAGAGAAACGGAAAAGAGGAAGATCAAGGGACATATTGTGCCGGGAATTGGAAGCAGACATCAGGAGAATGAATAGCAGCTAGAAACAACTGGAAAGTTTGCCCAGAACAGAGTTGAGTGAAGAATGCTAACGGACGGCCTATGCTCCTCCATGCGTGGTAACTGTCGTAAGCAAGTCTCAGTGGATATCACTTTGTGATGAGCAACCTCTCTCAATATATGGATTTATCACATAGCTGCATAAGTACAAATGTAAAAACCTTACCGATTTACTGCCTTTAATCATTTTGGAAGCAAACATTAATTAGACTTTGTACATTATTCAGACCCAACTCCTGTCTATATATATCAGCAATTATTAATATACGTTTTTCTGTCCAACTTTTCTGCTATAAACCGTTCTAGTATGACTATGGAATGATCTTAATTAGCTAGCAACACTCAAAAGAATATTTGTTTTAATAGATTGACCGTTTTATTTTTATAAACTAATAACTCTGATCAGAAACATTTTAAAGTATACCGTTTATATCATATACTTACCTTATTTTTCTGAAAATCTATATTGAAATGTACTCATAGACATTTGTACAATCATACTTGGTCACGTTTTATAAATCCTAATATAAATCTGCTTCATACAAACCCTAGCACTTGTTGTACAAATAGTCTTTGCGAAAATAGATGAAGACAATATAAATGATTTAATGAATTATTATTATACAGAAAAAGAGAACTGACGAATGTAAATATTACTAGTACCATTTGTGGTGCGACGATATTCTATGTTTATTGTTTACCCGTTTAGTTAAAGTACTGTTTTAGCTCTTTTGTTTTTATCCTCAAAATAAATAGTTCCGCAAGACTTCGACATTGATGCCGATCTCATTCGTTTCACTGGATATACCTTAGCTAAAGACCCTTGGTCAAGCATCCACAACAAATCACCATAGAGTACGCCGTGCTACGCGTCACTCTCAACAACAAATCAGATTAAATCACACACCTCGATACATTGACTATCTTTCAAATAAATCTTCAAACTCCTTCGTTTCTGACTTCTCGTCTGATTGGGCTTGGAGATTCTCGTTTTTAAGGGTGTTATGAACAACAGCATTGTCGAGTCTTGAATATCCACAGCCCTCTTCTATTTGATAAAAAAAACTAGAGTTGATATCAATGGTACATTTATCAGTAAATTATCTGAACAGCTGAAGGCAAGCGGACTAAATAAATAAATACACATATATACTACGATTACAAGTCAATTTATAAAACAATGAGTATTAAAGAAATAACCATTTAGTAGAAAAATCCTCAATTATATTAATCATTTTTTTCGACCAAAAATCGAGTAATGGTGGTTTGCAACTTCTCATATTTTCCCTCCTTCATCTTTGATCAGATCAAGTATACATGAAAACACATATTCACATATATTTACGGTGGATTATCTCTGCAATATTATAACATTTCTTACAATACTGAATTTCTGTCTGCCACGTACAGCGCAATAAATAGATTTTGTTATAACTATAAATAGCAAATGATTTAACGAATGTTATTGATTCTATTACATAAATATGAATTGAACATACAGTCTATTACCATACATATCATTTTCGTATTAATTTATCTCATAAGAAATTACTATTAATTATAAGACATGATTTCCGTTCTGTTTAGAAAATACATAATAAACTCATAGATTTATAGTAAGTTCAATGGGTAAGATCATGAGTCAGTTAAAGCTAGACCACCATGGAAAACCTGGAAGCACTGAATGGCCGTTTCATCCTATTGCGGGACTCCTCAGCATTACGCATCCACGACCTCGCCCCCTGCGAGATTCGAATCAGGACCTACTAGTTTCGCGCACGAGTACTTAACCACTAGACCACTGAGCCGGCATCCAATTGTGTTAATGTCTAACTTCAACTGCTGAGGAGTCCGACAATAAGACGAAACGGCCGTCCAGTGCTTCCAGGTTTTTCATGGCGGTCTAGCTTCAACTGATTCATGATCTTAACCATTGAAATTACTACAATATCCACAAAGTCCATCTGATGTTCATAGACTTATAGTTTTCACTTAATGAAAGTGAATTTCTGCTTACGTCTGATTTACGTATTTATAAACTGAAAACTATGATCATTAGAAGATTGATGGTTAAGTTTAAGATGAAATTCTTGAAGATCAAATGTAAAATCGTGACTAGTCAGGACAAAGTAATCTCAGGAGTGAGTTAGTTATCAATTTAGACACTGAATAATCCATGCTTTTAATCACTAGTTGTCTGAATTCGGAAATACCTGTTCATCAAATTCTAAAAGTTGTAATCTAAAAGTATAGTCTTCATTGTAAAACATCAAGATTATTCATTCTGTTGCATGTCTTTAGTATCTATTACTTGGTAGTTCTAACCTGAAAAGAAACAGCCTCCTAGTGCTTTTTGATTCTCTCCGGATAATCTCTGACAATAACAAAAGCTTTCTTAAAATACGTTTGTAAGAATTTATAAATTTTGAGACATATATTTAAACTACGTTGTAGATCAATTCAAATCACAAGGTTAACAATAAGGGTATAAGGATGTACATCATAGGGTGAGCACAATCATTATATATACAGATATATCTCTTTTTTCCAGAATCCAGATCACCGGTTTGTTCGGATACATACCATATCTATTAGTTAAAATAACCATAAAACCTTAAAACTGTACGACATAATATTACGAACTTGATATTCTAATGTTTTTTTTGTGTCCTACTTATTAAAATCATTTGAATGACTATATTCTACCAATCATCAATCTATATAAATAAATAATGAGTAATTACCTTGACAACATTAACAGAAATATTTTACAAATTTTAAATGTTGACTAGTCAATTTTAGTTTTACAAAAATAGTTTTTTTTTCTATTTATTTATTTCATTCATAAAGTATCCAATATTATTCGATTTATTTCATTGGTCAGATTGATTTGTAGAAAAAATCTTTTTAAAAAAATTACTCGGTCAGGCATTATCGATTATCTAATGATTCCCATATTCAATTCAATTTTCGCCCCCCCCCCGGCTTTTCATCAATTCATGTGTATATGTCTGTCCTACTACTTTTTGTTGTACAGTCAAAGTATTTTAATTATAATGTCAGTTGATATAGTATTTTCTCCATTTGAATAAGATGCTTATTATAGTAGTAATGGACATTTTATTATGATTGGATAATTTACAAAAAAAATTATTATTATTATTTTTTGATTGGGGAATCGAAATAATCCTAAACACTTTATAAAAGCCCATTAGATTAGAAAGTTGACAATAGTAAAACAAACAATCAAAAATTATAATCAAGTTGCCTCAACAACAAAAAATATAAAAAAAATAATATTAATAATTTATTCAATTGAAAGTCTATAGTTGGATTATATTATTTAATAAATAAATAATTTATTAAATCATTGAAATTTCATTAATCTAATTATATTAATTGAGGATAATATCATTATGTCTGAATATTATGAAGGTGAGAAATGTTAATTTTGTTTGTTTGTGTTTAAACCGAAAACTGAAATAAATGCTAAGTTGTCAATGTATAAACTATATTTGTTATTTTATATTCATTAGACAGATAGTGAATAAGATAGACTTTATCATAAATGAAAACGTTCTCTTTATTAAAATGAATTTTCAAAGTTATAAATATTAGTATGTTTTATCTTATTATAAACTACAACAGACTTGTTCACAAATCAGTCATCTTGATATATATATATATATATATATATATATATATATATACTGTTATCTAACATTTATTATTTATTTATTTTAACACATACATATTGGTACAAGGAGGCACCTAATAGATATGCGCCACATAAATCATTCGATTTCTGTGGGGGCTGTGATACTGCCCGGGTGCCCAGACAGAAGCAGGTGGTTTTCTTAGGGGGCCACACATCGAGCCTTTGACCTAAAGGTCTGACGCACAAGGCAGTGGAGCATCGTAAGGAGATGCAGTCCCATGGTAGCCGGTGACCAACGATTGGTTCATACGCCATTTGTTTCCTCAGGGTACTGGAGCCCATGTGCACCATTGGTTTGGGATCCGGTTAAAGCGCCGGACATTCGCTCTCGTCCTCTCATTTTCGTAAACAATACCCCCGCCACGAGAATGCAGTGAGTAGGACTTCCGTGGCATAGGCTGTATACGTGTGGCCATGTGAGAGCATTTCGAGAGGGAGGGCCCACCCCACTCTCGGCCATACCAGGGCATTATGGGGCAAATAGGAACAATAACGAGGCGGATTTGCATGCATATAGCATACAATTCTCTTTGAACCTAGCACACAACAATAGCATCATGCACTGTCCCGTCGCCCTTGGCAGATCAGGCAACGCGAAAGTTACGAGAACACCATCAGGTCATGCGACAGGCTAGGTATCTAACAATCACCAGATAAACATTATCTTGTCATGTTACATACTTAGACACTTAAAAGAGGATACTATAATGTAGGTTATTATGTCAAGCCCATATAACTTATTCTATATTCTGGACAGGATAATTTATTTATTCTTCTTCAGTCACGTTTTGACCTTGATAATTATTCACTTATCAACCTTGACTGTTTTTACATGAGCGTATATGTGTGTACATCTTATTCTACTCATCACATGTCTGTAGCTTATTCTCGTGTGACTATAAAGATTGATTAACGCTTGATTAAATCAATTTGACTTGCCCGCCATCTCCACCGTGCGTCATTTCGCTTTGTTCATCTGATTGTCTGTCCAGATCAATGAATGTACAAAATAAATGTATTCAAACATCCATTCTCGTATTTGACGTATTTGATTCCGTTATACACTCATTTTTTGAAATCAAAGCATATACACTTTGAATAAGTAGTTCATATTATAGTGTATTCTACAGTCTACTCTTATTCGAATTAGTGTCAGCTTATAAGTAACAACACAGATCGTAGTGACGTAGGCTTTTTGAAATATTGGTAGATTACAGACGTTGAAATAAATCTTCTATTTTTCCATTAGTCATAATTAATCCAATATAGACATAAATTTCGAAAATAGGTTGAACCATAATGTTTAAAAAAACAGATATTTATTTGTCTTTCTAAATAATTATTAACTTCACTTGATATAATGGTGTAAATTGTGAAATCTCTAACTTTTAACTACTGAACAAGATATCAGGTTGCCTTAGGAAAAGAAATTTTACTAGAACAAAGTTTGTAATCAAAAAAATAGATCAGATAGATTTATGTTTAATCTATGGAAACAAGCTTATGCTTTCTCATAAATTTTATTCAATATTTTGTCAAAGACTAATTTAAATTCTCATACAGATGATTACCCTTAGTGACTCAAAGGCAGTAAGAACAACGATTTAAAGATAATAACATTTATTTTATTTAAGGGGCTCTTCAGTTATGTGCACTTATGATATAGATCCCAAGATTTTAATATCTACTGATTTACAATTTACTTTCAGATTCCTGAGTTGAAGGGACAGTCGTCTAATGGTTCTCCAAGCAAATTCTGTCTATGATGTCAATCATCATCGAAATTAAAATAATATCCATTGACCACCCAACTTTTTATTTAATTTAACTCATTTGTTAACTGCTGACTCATCTTCTTTGTTTTCATTAGAATAACTGGATTTGTATAAAACCGGTCAATTTAAGAAGTTCAATAAATTAAAACTATAAAGGATATACGGAATTTCTGAAGGAAAAGTAATATCTGGATAGTTATGGCAAAACACTAATAATCTATTTTGTATTAGTCCTAATGAACATCTACTGATAATTTTAAGTTAAAATTGTAGAAGTAACAATCATTATTTAAACAAATTCGAATAAAAACAACTGGATTACTCAGGTGATTTTCATTACAAACTGGTTACAACTGGAGAATCATTATAAATCAAGAAGTATTTAATAGCTATTTTGTCTAGTTTTAAACATTTTAGCAACGCACACTGACAACATTTATGTGAAATCGAACTTAGGAACTTTAGATTTAGTACAATTCGATAGATGAGTGAACATCTAACAGTTCTTATTGCTAACTTTAGTTAGTTTGCGACATGATGCTATCCCGATCCAATGATGTTCGGTGAGTCTCTGTCTCAATATCCACCTGATTGGCCTTATAGGTCAAACCTATGTCTTTTTAAGACTGATCTCAAAACTAATCACTACTCAACGCAGGATTGTTTCCATCAGTACTAGGTGAAGAACTGAAGACTTCATGTTCTGTGATAAGGAATTTCAGTATACTAACAATGACAGTAGATCATCACAAACGAAATTTTGATCTGTCTGAAACTATATCTTCAAAATGCTATCTAGACGTAAATAGAAAACGGTTTTTCTAAATGTAGGTAGAGTGCATTAATGAGCAAACTGTCATAACTTGTGCCCTATCTATATATATAACTTAATGATACCGCCAATTAGAAAACAGTGACTTATCGACCTGATCAATGACGCGTAAACCCGTACGAGCAGTCTAGAATCATTATCGGTCCTTCCTTCTTTCTAGCCCTATCTGTTGAGTCCAGAACATCAATCTCAGCCTCTGCGATATGAATTATGTATTTCAAACATACTAGGTTTATATATAAACCAAACATACCACATTGCACCATAAAATAGAAAATGACGTTTGTACAAGATCTAGCCAAAGTGGCTGTGAATGTGCGAGACTGTAAATAATAAACTGGGCATAATAATAGTCTATGAGTCAAAATAAAGCTTACAATAAGATGAACATGATTATGCACAGTTTAGTTACTTAACAATTATACAATAAAAATATATGTATCGTATTTGCCCATTAACAGTTATCATAAGTTAACATTCATAATTCTTATCGTGATACACCACAAACAATCTATCAAACTGCTTTTTTGCTCGTAAGAGTTCCATGTTAATCTTAACTGATTCCATAAATTGCAATTTTTAGTAAATAAAACCCTATCTTTTCAAGCGAATCGTTTATTTTTCATTTCTATTTCTGATATGAATCTATTTAGTTTTTACACTGACAAGTCAATAAATTTTAATACATACGTAAACACTTAGTTTATTCAACGTATATGTAATATATTTTTTAAAATATGGATTATTGTTTTCCTTTTAAAGCAACAATTTCACGAACTGCTGAGGAATTCCATACTAGAACGAAACGGCCATCCAGTGCTTCCAGGTTTTCCATGGTGGTCTAGCTTCAATTGACTCATGATTTCAACTAGTGAAATTACCAAAAATCTCCACAAAACCCCTTCTGACAATTTTACATACGTTTAAAATTTGTCTTACAATGCTTGACCCCAATAAAAACAGCTTCCCAGTTTTTTTTAATTTTGAAGGGAACAGTTGTCCGATACAAATATTTGCAAATTATCAAAAAAAGTGACATTCATTCAAACCTATTTATTGAAAACATATACGTATTTAAATCAAACATGCCGATTAAATTGTAGTTTAAAACATTAAAACAAATTAGATTTTTATTAGTTTTGTAACTATAAACTAAAATATTTGTTGTTTTCAAGATGAGGAGAATATACACAGTTTTACATTTCAACTGTCATTTAGAACTAATGTTTTGTTTTGCTTTTTAGTTCAGGCTATTAGTCATATGAAAATGATAAATTTTCATACTGTTACACTTAATTGAATTTAACACAGGAATAATGTTTGAATTGCTAAAATTGCTGTCGGCGGAATTATCAATTCAAATGTTTTATAAATAATAGATTTTTTATATCCTAGTGAAGATTGAATTACGGGTAACTTCTGAGAAATATTAATGGACTAATATTATATATATAGTATAACTATTCAGTAACTAGATTATGTATATCTATATTTCTCTTATTACAAGCTTTATTTTGATCTATAGACTATTATGATACAATTTACTATTCTAAATGATACTGATTTTATTGACTACAATCTCTCATGCTCACAGTCACTTTTTGGCTTGATTTTCTATAAATGTTATTTCCTATTTTATGGTTTGATGCGGTCTGTTTGGTTGGTATATAAGCCAAGTATGTTTGAAATAGATGATTCGTATAGTGGAAACTGTTATCGGCATTCTGGACTCAACTGGAGAGACCAATAAGGATGCTAGCTGCTCATATTAGTCGAACGTCATTGGTTTGGCACAGTACTAAGATTGAATAAGTCGTATTTTGATTGGTCAATAAATCACGTGATAACTAGCCGGGCTTAAAGATACAACAAGCTTTAAATAAGATTTTTCGTAAAATCGTTTATTTGATACGTAAGTTGGTTTAAATATTTCCTAAGAAATTTCTCCTAGTTACATTTCACAGTGTTTTATAAATAGTAAAGAATTTTAACTTCTGCTTTGAGCTAAAATATATCTAATTGAGTCATTACATTCTAGATAAACGAAATGTATACCATAGTGACCATAGTAACTAACGATGCAACCGATCATGTTTTCGATATAATGAGTTCGTTCACAATAATTTATAAATAAACAGAATAAAATTTCATTGAGTTTATCTAGTCAAGCAGCTGTTGAGCCCAACTCACCATATAAAAGGAAAGAATTTTCAATTTGTCACTGACATTATGATCCTCATTTTTACTTCTCCATTATTTGATTTACTTCAGAAACGTCATTGTATAAACGTATTGAGGTGATTATTTTCAATTTAGTTAAATTCTTTAAAACAACTTTACAGTTATTATGTAACCTATTTTAATAGCTTTTCGCTTATCTTACTCCTTTTTCATCTATTTGATGTATTGGAAACCACTCATCAATTGATAATCTTTATAAATGAACGCATTAATATTTATATCTTTTGATTGTGCGACACCATTCACATGTTAAACGTTGTTAATAAAATCATTTTTGTAAATCTAAGATTAGGCTTTCACCATTTACGATAAGACGTGCCTATTTCACAACTATTAAAGTGATCAAAATATATAACCAATATTACATATATAATTATGAGATGACAATTGTTAGCAGATACTTAGCATTTTGTATACAATCTTCTCAATTCACTCCCCCCACAATCCTCTTTAAACCAGATTGTATATTCAATCGCAATAATTTGAAATTTCCTTTGATACTTCCTAAAGATCTTTCTGATCATATAAACTCTTATTTTATTTACAACATTAACCGTTCCGGATTTATGTATGGATTCCATCGAATCGGTTAAGCACATAGTGTTCAAGAGTCTCATTCTTTTTTTTAAAGTTATCAAGATACTTCTAAAATTATGTTAATGTAATTAATCTGAAACTAGAATACACACACGATAGGTTACTACCAATCACAATGTCTGACAAAAGATAACCGACCTCCAACTCTCTTTTGTAATGTCTATCTAGAAAGTAAATTTGATTAATTGGTTCATTAGAATCATCAACTTAATGAGATAATTGCCTCTTTAAAAATTCAGGGCAGTAGAATCGAACTTTTATTCTATCAAATTTTTCAGCTACCACTGTTGATGGAAGCAACATTGCTCCACACAATGACCCAATATTTATATGTTTTGACCTTTACAAAACAATACTTTTTTATATAAGCGTTATGACGTAAGTCAATGTTTAAATCGGTAATTGCACTCTTTGTAATGAATTGTTTACTTCTAAGACTTCATATTTAAATCAAACAATCAATCCAAAAGATGATCACTTCAAATGAAGACACTTAAGTTTGAAGATTGTGTGGTGTTGGATTCTTACACAATGGTTCAAGACCAACATGATTACGTCTCCATATTAGAGTTATTTTACTTAATACTAAACAAAATACTGCGTTACATAACATCGATATATATAACTTCTATTCATTGATTTTCAGGATCATAGGACGAAATTTTTTATAATTTTAAATTTGTAGTATAGTTTCACTTCAGGCATATAATATAATTTATATTCACTATTCATAAACAAACATTCATTTACCCTGGTTAGAGGTTTAGAATTGTTCTATACAATTGGTATTTACCAGTGCAACTTAGTCTAATCATAGCATATATAGGAATTTTTTGAAAAGTAATTGAATATCAGTATACTAATTCGTGTAATGTTTATAAACAGTTGTGTAATGCCAAAATATTATTATTATTGTGTGTACGAATCATTCTCGCATAGTTATAGCAATTACTCATCAGTAGTATCTTTTGGAAATCTACAGTTTTATTCAAATCACAACAATCTTTGTGTTGAAAATATAAAATAATGAATCCTGTTATAAATTCTTCTATATAAATTACTCTGATTTAAACAATCTAAAAAACTTTCTATTTCTCTCTTCATGAATACTAAATGTTTGAAGAATCTGTGTGTCATAAACTAAAATCGACCTAATTTCAATATCGTTTCCTATGCTACTTTTTGATCTCTTAAAGAGATTTCCTTTTTCCCTTAGATCTATATATTCTGTAAATAAATGCGGATTAATTCGGAATCATTTTGATCTACCAAACAGTAGTCCACATCCAAACACCAAATACCTAATAAATGATGATAAGTGTCTAAATGACTTGAAGTTAATCGCTTCAAAACATATCCATGAATAAAACTTTAAAAATAGCATGTTCTCATTGTTGTGTTCCAGATCAGGAATGTTTAAACCGACAATAGTCAGATAAGTTTGGGATCTAGTAATATACTATCAGAACAGAACTATTGTTTTGATAAAATAGGGAGAAGACTTTGCTGGTCGAACATTTCTGCTCATCAGCAAAGCCCTCAACCAAATTTTTTGTGAACCGAGTCATTGATGCACTGAGTAAATTCACGTCACAGAAATAAATCTACTGTTCGTGTGCGGAATATTCAACTAAGCATGACTAAGAGTTATTTGTAAGGTAACAAATGACGAATATAGGTCATATGTTAACCCTTTAACCCACCAAACCAAATACTCATATTATTTATTAATAGTATTAAGCGTTTGCTATTAACCCTAAACCTCACAATAGGCTTTAAAGTATATATTGTTTCTTTTTCATAACATAATTGTTCGAAACACTTTATTAACCTCGAATGACTGATATTTTCTTTCCTTGGAATATAAATTTAGCTGACCTTTTATTTTGACCTCGACGTTATAAAATCTTTAATAAACTGATTTTTCCGAATGCGAATATGAACTAATCGCCAAGAAATGGGGAAGTCAATCGATTTTTGCTAATAAATGACCTTAATATCAACCTGATTATCGAAGCCAGGTTTATTAGATTTATTCGAAAACTAGACAATTAAGTCACCCAAAACAATACTTTTTTAATTTGTGTGGTACAAAAGTATAATTTCACTACTATTGCTACAAATAATAACACTACTTCTAACGTTTGTTACCCCTCGTAGAAAATAGGTCGCCGACCAGGATTCTCCGACCAATACTGTTCTCGGCTCTCCTTTCCAGTTACTATTCATTCTTTTGATGTCTCCCTCGAATTTCTAAATCAGCGTGTTTTTAGTTCTTCCACTTCACCTTCTACCTTTAGGATTCCAGGTTTGGGTTGACGTCTTGATGCAGACTAGTGATCTTCGCAAAACATGTCCTACCCACACCAAGCGTCTTTTCCTAATTTTTTCTACAGCTGGAAAACGGTTTGTTCCGTCAAACTATCTCTCAGCATTTCTGCAGCTACTTGATTGGTCCTTCTAGTTTCTTACATGGTCCGGACATTCAACGTACCTAAAAGGGACATCGACTTCGTGATTTACGAAAAATCTCGTCTTTTACAATGAGGCATCATAACTCTTCTAAATGAAGAGCCTTCAACTCTCAGTACAGAGTTTAAATGGTTTAATTTGTTTTTTTTTCTGGTTAGCGTGTTTTAGCAAAGTCGTTTTCTACGGAATGAAGTTTTGATCATATGTTCAAACCCGTCTTCTCTCTGAGCTTGGGACCATCAGTAGATCTGGAATGGCTACAGGTGGAGTTATAGTTTCATAATAAATGAAAGATTTCAAATAGGAAAATGTGAAAAATGTTTCATTATAGAAGAATCACTGTCAGGATACTATGAAATTTATTTGTTTACATGTCTTATCTCAAACATTATTTCCAAATTAATAAAGACTGATATATTTATTAAATAAGGCAGGAGTAATTGCAACGGTTGAACTCTTAATACATTATTCTTAAACGTTCTACTTGTCATATTTTTTTGTAGACACAATATTTCATAACATTACGTGTGGAATACAGATGAATTTTGTTGTATCATAGAAATACATTTTTTACTACTAAAATAATGTTGCTCAGATAACGGAACTGAAATAAAATTATAAAATCAAAGTACCGGCTGATTCTAAAATTATAGTTACAGTGAACATCGTTTTGTTAATCAACCGGCCTATTTGATCGACTGGTCAAATATTAAGTCATAGATGAGTTAGATGGAAATTCGAGAAAACAAGACTTACATTTTTGATGATAAGACGGTGTTTATTTTGCACCGATAAATAGTATTTATATTTTTAGTATAAAAGAACGAACGATAAAGATGTACTGTTACTAAAATCCTCGCTATACATGTGTCGGATGAGAAGAGGACAAAACACATGCTCGTTTTTGAATATAATCCTAGTCATTTATGTTTGAGTTCCATAAGAGTATACTTTAGAACTACAGAAAACTTCATAGAAAATCAGTTAGGACTAGATAAACGGCCGAGTGTAATTACTTTATTGTTTATCTATAGTTTAACAAGGTAGCTATGCTAGAATAACATGTAGTCATCACCATTTTCGATTCATTGAACAGTCTCCGGAATGACTGAATAAGAAAGTAATAGAGCCTACCAAACGTTTACTTAATAAAAAATGCTCAAATTCAATCATTATATATAACTTCCAAGTAAAATGTTTAATTTATAATAGCTTACAAATTATATCTTTTTCTAAATAGGAAAACACTCACAAACTTTACTAATATATTTAAATAAATATGTTGAAACGATCTGTCTAGGTGATGTGTAGACACAGGTATTGCACATGCAAAAATCTAAGGGATTTGTACACATTTTACACAAGTCCAATTTCATTTCTCTAATTACACTGAGCACTTCAAAACCCAAATTCTCTTTTCAAATAATCTTGTTGTTTTTCTTCCATTTCTGATACGACACCCGTGCGAATGACAAAATCTAAAACAATCGTCTACTTTTTAAACTTATCAATTGCATGCATTCGCCTCCCGATTATACTATCAGTCAATATGACTAAATATTATATGTTTTTCATAGAAATAATAAAAACATGGTGATTAAATTAACCAGGAAAAGGTGAACACAATACCTCAGAAACGTAAATTCAAATGATTCAAACTGGAGTCATTTTTGTTTTCTTTTAATGACAAACAGACTTAATAATAACTATGTATATTATTGTTTCAGACTGGTTAAATAATGCTTTTTTTCTGATAATTTCTGATAAATCTTATGTCATAAATCACTCATTTATTCATAATTGATAGTTAGTTAACTATTAAGTGGTTTTCCTTCCTTTTAAAAAAAGAAACCCAAACTAGAATCATATTGTTTATGTTAATTTTTAAACGAAAGTGATGTTTAGAAAAGAATCAGATATTAGTCAATTCCATATATTTTTTTTAAACGTACTTATGATGTATTAGAAATGTATGTTTATTGGATCATTTGATCGGATAATATTACACAATGAAAATGGATAAATTACTTCTCCATCGTTAAATTAACGGTTCACTCTTAATGTATAATTACTATATCAGTGGTAGTGGAGAAAAATATGTACTTACATATACAATCATTATTTTTCAAAAATTATCGAAATTACTATAATATCCAAAAACCCCTTCTTATACTAATCAATATGTGCTCACTAGTGACTGACTTCAAGAAGCATTTCCTGGAGTTCTAGTGAAAAACCGTGAGCAGTGGAGTCCAACCGGGTCTGTTGTCAGATAGCAATTCACTGAACGTGTCGCTCAATTTCATGGATTAGTTGAAGTTAGACAATAATATCATTGAATGCTGACTCATCAGTCTAATGGTTAAGTGTTCGCGCGCAAGACAGATAGGTCCTGTGTTCGAATCTCGCAATGAGCGGGATCGTGGACGCACATTGCTGAGAAGTCCCGCAATAGGATAAAACAGCCGTCCAGTGCTTCTAGGTTGTCCATGGTGGTCTAACTTCAATTGACTCATGGTCTCAACTATTAAAAATAAAGAGTCATTTAAACACATTTCAAACGATTGTTTTAATCTTCATATTCAGTAAATAATTATCTATGTTCATATCTGTTTTAAACAAAACTTATTTAACAATTGAATTATATACGTGACAGATAAGTATGAAAAATATAATTAACTAAATTATGTAATTGTGAACAAAACAAGATTGATGAAAATTAGACTGATTTTTTTTATTCGATTTAATTGTTTTTCTACTATTTCAAAGTGTAGTTTTAAAGAGAAGCAATAATGTATTCACAATAAGTTATCCATGACAATAGAATTTACTTCGACTGAAGTTAAATGCAAACAATGATGTCGTTTTTCTTTTATTTTTTTCTTTAATTTTCGCTTCTAACTCAATATATTATAGTTTATTCAAGTTTTATTCGATTGAACATAATTACTGAGAAAATATTTTACTTTTATTCAGTAGTCTATCGAACGGAACGTTTTTTCTTATCCCAATGGAATTCAGATTATTTATTATGTACACATCTTTAAATGTTAACAATTACAAGAGAACAGAAATGTATTAAACTTTGTTTTGGATAAATCGATTAAATCATACACAATTGTTAATGAGAAACTTTTATGCCTCAACGTTATTGTTTTTTTTTATAACTTTAAGCTAGAATTCTTAACAATGAACCGAAACAAGTATTATAAAGATAAAACCTATGATCATTAACCCTTAATCGAAATATAAGTGTGTGAAAATACTATACATATAATTACTATATATTATAGATAATCACTATGTGATCTGTCAAGACTTTTTTTAAATATCAAATTGTAGCTTTTTTTGGCTAAACAAACATACTTAAATAAATACATTATACTAATAATTCAGTGTATAGAATACCCTACTGATCGAAGATCAGTATAACATAATGATCGATGTTGGTTATGATGTAGTCTCAAAATAATTACATTGATTTACACTGATAATTTCAAGATTAAATATTAATTATTTGTTAAAATTTAATTTATATACCACTAATTAAAAGAGAATAAAAATTCATTATTCAATCATAAATTTCAACTATACCTTACTTTCTCGTGAACTTACACCCATATTTTGATATTATTTACAAATTTTCATATTAAGAGTATTGCCAACAAAATACCATGATAGTAAGACAGCATGAACTATATATGTCTGCCGTAACAACAAATTCAGTCAAATTTAATTGTAATTTAGTCTATTAATTCTTAGATCATTCCTGCTCATATTATATATATATATATATATATATATATATATATATATATATGAGATAGAGTGATTTACTCTGATTTATTTGTTTTATAGGCGATAATTCATGTGTACGTTGTCTACGTAGTTCACCGATTGCATCTTTAGTTGGTTTCATTATTGTATTATTGGGCGGTGGCGCTTTTGGTGGAGCAATCATTTTTGCAAGACGTTATTTAATTACACTTTTAAATGCTCCTAATCTGTGAGTTGTTTATTTATCTGTATGTTGCATTAAATATATTAATTTTTTTTAAAATAAAATTGATTTGTATGGTTAAGCTTTTATATAAGTTGAAAACTTTTGTATTTTCCAATGATGTTTTAGGAAATGGAATATAGTCCAACGATGTTTATAAACAATATGTATAACGATAACATAACATCAACAACAGTACAACTCAAAATGAATAACTTAAGCCTATCCAAGCTTTCCTCACTATGTTCTCCCATATTTATGAAAAGTTACTTGCATCTTTTTTGCATACATCATTTCAACAACATTTGAATATGACATTTAAATTTCGGACATAAAACTATACCTTATCTTTGTTAGTACACACCTAAAAGTACACCAAGCATTCTTAAGCTCCCCATGATTGGTCGGAAATATAAAGCGTATATTTTAAAAAATGTATTTATTTTTACATAGATATGAATATCTTCACCTAATAACCGCTTTTAGATTTATTTAAGATCAATACTTCGTGTTCCAACAGGTCATCAAGTAGTAAGATATGAATTAGTGCATATTTTTGTGACTTCTCCTGAATCTATCGACAATCTTATAGAAACTGTTTATTGCCTACTTATTCACTCACAGAATTATTTCTAAATAACATTCTTCCTTCTCTAAAGAAAATTCAATCCCTATATTTACACTTCTCTTTTTTCTAGTTTCATCCTAAAACATAAATAATAATTACATCTAATTACTTTGTTTGTTCAAGACTCAAACAAAAGGTTTTGTATTACATACTTTAACTGACCAATGAATCTGTAGGCATAATTATCCTAAGGAGAGGGTTTCTGTAGATAACAAACCATTATTACATCTCACAAGTCTGTTGAGTACATAATCAAATGTCAAATTATCAGAATCATAGTTTCTGTAATTAAGAATTTTGAAAATTTTTAAGTTTTGTATGCATAATAACTACAGTTACTCAATAATTAACATCAATAGGATTGACATACAGACTCCAGTGATAGTTTCAATGATTTTTGTTTATTGTCAAATTTGAGATGAAATGTTCAAATACACGCATATACATCAAGGCTAACGAAGTCTGTACACTCTTAGTACATTCCAAATCATTATGATATAGATTTTAAATGCAGTTTTAAAATGAAATCTTAACAAAATTGTTTTGTGATTTACACCTTCACAAAAGATACGGCTAGTATTTCTGTAGTAAAGATTTCTTTTAATTGACCTATTTCAATCACTTGTCATGAATTTAACTGATAATTTATACCAACATAAATAATAAATAATGATCAATCAGATTATTATTATTACTATTATCACATCAGTATACAGTATGGATGGCTTAAATCAAATTGATATTACTCACAGGAAACTTTTTTATAGCCTACTCTGCCGATACTATATAACTTTCAAATATTTAAACATTGCTATTATTGATTTGTAAACGTTTGCATTAACCCGTCGTTAATGTTGAAGACTGAGTCTTGGTCAATCTAAAGTTATAGGTAGTGGATATGTGAAAATTAACACTGTCGTCCAGATACATCTAGTTTATGAGTCCGAAGCAGGACAAAGAGTTCATCCTGAAACCCACTACTAACCATAAGCTGAGTATACTAACCAATGATAATCTACAAAATACCAAGGATTAGTTATTGTGTATCTCACGATCTTATTACTTATTTGTAGATTCCCTTACTTGGACTATGCTATTTATGGTTTAGTCGGAGCAATAGGATTATTCTCACTGTTAGCCTACTTACTATGTGCTCTGTCTTCCGGTTGGAATGCAAAACACTACTTTGAAAGTAGCCGAAAAGCATGCTGCGGAAGATGCTGTAATATGACGGTAAGTCTTATATTTTGTGAAAATTTATTTCAAAAGAATTTTATCTGTATTCTTCAGAGGTAACCTCATAATTCATCTTTGAAAAATAGAAATATGTTTGTCTGAATTAGATAATCACAGTTTCAAGGGATATGTCTATTGGTTCAATCAATCAGACGACCATTGAAAAACCTGGATTGTTTTCCCAAGTTAAAGCTGTATAAAAAGTAGGCCTTTAGACTCTTAAAATTAGTGACTATTCTAATGACCGAGATTTCTAACTTCAATAAATTTTTTATGCAACATAGTTACGATTGAGAACCATACCACTATAAAAATTATCAGAAAATACGGGTAGGTTATGTAAACAAGTATAAGGTTTCGTAACTTTTGATTTTATATCCTTCTGAGGATGCTAGAAAACAACCTGCCATTTTTCTTAATAACTGTTCAATTTATGTTTTAACTAAAGACACTTATTTTCCTTAGGTTAGAGTTCCTTAGCATCACAACTCTTCTATTATAAACCTATCTAAATTTATTAGCTTTTTAGTACAGAAATTTTGATGGTCTTTGAGTAATTCCTAAATCAGCATCATGTAAATACACTCTTAACTGAAAGGAATATAAATATAGTTAGTATTCAATCTTACTATTCTTAACTCTTCTTTTAGGACAATTGATTAACAGCAATATAATTTTTGCCTATCTGTTTACTTTAAAGTAATTTTTGAATAGAAAATCACTGATGTACTTGATTTCTTTATTTTGTTCGTCATGATTCACCTATCGTCTTATTTTCACTTCGATTAATAACTTGAAAACAGATAAACAAGATCCATGACTTGTATATGTTGTATTTAAGTGTTCAATGGACGTCGATTTCATAAAAATAGTTACTAGCTTGAAATTTCACTGGCAGAAATTTATCACCATTTCTAAAACTGTACTAATTATCACTGAGTAAACTTCAAATAAATACAGTAATTTACTGTCAACATAACTTCGATTCCTAAAGTTAGTTTTCTTACTTCACTCACATAATAAAATACCCTTAAATAATCTTGTTTTTAGTTAAGAGTGTAACAAAAAAGCTTAGAACAAAAAAATAATTATCTGAATACTCACTTGAAACCGTGTATTTCGGTTAGATAGTTAATTTAAATGCTTCTCAAAATGTTTACACTTAGTTATTCATTGATGTTTACATTCACGATTATCAGCTATTTTACAACTCCACTGATTGTTAGTGGTCAGTAAACAATGGCAATTTAAATAATTTATTTATATTGTGCTTATCGATTTGTACTATTCTCATACTACCAAAAACAATGTTGAAATTTTTTTGTGACCCAGTCAACTCCAGCTCTCAAATCAAATTACTAAATGTAAACTTTAAAGGCTCCTAGTATGTATGAGAAGAGAAACTCTATGCTGTTTTTTTTTTGGAAGAGTACTTCAAAACTAATATATGGTGAAAAATATCTGATTCATGATAACCGGATCTTGACTATTCATTACTTCAGATACAATGGTACTATTTTGTGAAGTTTCACTGTGGCCATGAAAGTTGAAGGCTTTTGCTTATGTTTAATGTACCTGGAGATACTCCTATAAGAGTAGTTGGATAAAAACGGTAGTGAAAAGGTTTATCTCGTCCGTAATTTTCTTACTCTTATCAGTAGTAGTTTGATCAAGAATCTATAAACAACTGGATTGTATCAAATATTTCCTTATCTATCTAATCTAATCAGAAAACTGATTTTTGTTGAAAGATGCCCATATGGGCATTATTAGTATGAAGAACTTACATCAAAATGGTAGCAAGTAGTTACTTTTTTGAACATTTTAATTAAGCTAACTAAGAAAAATATTTGGCAAAACTAATCCATTCATTAATTCCTCAGTAAAAATGACTCATAATAAAGTATACAAACAACAACAACAAGAAAAATGACAAAAAATTTGAAACAAATTTTCGGACACATAGTTTATAAAACTGTAATCATTAAATCTGTAAATACGGTCATTCTGTCTCATTTAACGAACATAATGTTGATCTGGCAATTATAGTGATTACCATGTATATGTTTCTAATCGATAAAACGTTTTTCAAATGTGTTGAATGAATATGGTTTATAATTATGTTCATCCTTTTAAAATTAAGTTTTGTAAATGTCTAAGTTCTTCGTTAAACGATAAACAACAAAACAAGAATAGAACATTTATCATTATTTTCATATGTAAATATTTATAATCATTATACCATGGAAACCAAATGTGTTTAATTAGCTGAATGTGAACACTTAACACACAATGACCTTCATACTAATGTACAGTTCAAAACATCTAGAATTAAGGGAAATAACATCTTTTAGATGAATCACTATCTATCTACATTTCAAAACAAATAAAACTAATGTAATATGAAGACGAAGATTATCAGAACTATGCGTTCACATTATTATTATTACTCTTATCATTATCCCTATCTTCTCTTACCTCGTTTTAAGTCTAGTTGACCTTTTATTTTTATATATAAATGCCCTTAACAAGTATATGTGTGACCAGATTGTTCGAAATGTATTGCGCTAATATATCACATAGTCCTGATAATCTTCGTCTTCTTATTACATTATCGAAATTTATCAAAAGGACTAATTGTTTTAAATAAAACTAATCTGACCTAATGTTGAAAAAATAGATCAAAAATAGAATAAAATGTATGGTTGGGATCATTTTTATGAATAAGTGTTTAATTCTAAGATATCTTTCATTAATTTTGGATTCTGATAATGTCCACACGAACTTTCATCCGAGTATCATTTGACATACACGCAAATATACGCTATATACACATCGATAACACATAGGTTTTATCTCACGACATACACATAGGTATATTCACCCACTTGGGGGCGTAGATATTCACCGATCCCAATGAAAACGTATTTGCTACACCAGACTGACTGTTACACATTATATGCATATCATTCACACTATAACTACCGCCCCAGTACTTCCCAACGCACACATAAGCACTCTCTCAAAGGAGGTTGTTGGTCACCTCTCCATAGTATTTTCTACCACCTGTATTCATTATGTCTTCGACATGATAGACTAGGTCTCTCATTTTATTACACATAGGGTAGACGATATTTCAGCGAACGTTTCTATTACACGACACCACACGCATGTTGTTGGCATATACGTACACACATGAACTTCATAAGCCCGAGGACGTCTGTAATTCTTATACATAGGTATACACAGCAGGTGACCTGGTGCGGTTAAGTGGGACCCGAGTTGAAACCCGAGTGAATCAAGGATACAATTGGGTGAGTGATTAGCCTGATCTCCGTCGTTATAAGATGTAACAGTTCGCAAAAAACAGATAATACAAAAAGTGTTTTTGCTCAATCTGTATCTTATCTGTTAATCCCATAAATCAATGCAGAACATATTATTTTCCATGTACATTAAAGAATGTCAGAATAAGTGCACATTTACCATCTACTAGGCTTTTAACGAATATTATGATGATGATGATCATCATCATCATCATCACCATAATCGTAATCCTTAATTAACAAATCTATCTACAAAACATCAGTTATATTAGTGTACATCCCTTAATTGAGAACTACATCAAAATTTCTATTTTGTATCTGTTTTTAAACTAATTGCTTAATACCATTAAGTTTACTCACCTTTATCTTGATTTTCATCTCTATATATAACACTAAAGTGTTTTAGAATTATTATCACTATCACCATTATTTATTTCTATTTTGTTTATCTACGGATATTAGAATGACATACCCACTTTAATTACTAAACACATGCAAATATGAATCATCTTTTAGTGTTCTATCCTTTTTACAGTATTAAACAAAATAATCAGAAATCAATTTGTTTTGTTGTTGTGTTATTTTCTTTTGGAAGTATTGGAATACAATAGAAGTTTATCTATGCATCAAAAAAAAAGAAAAACCTTAACACTTCTTTTTACTTTATTATTGATGGAGAAAAATAATAAAACATACCCATATATGACATAGGTAATTTTGTAAAAGCATTTGAAAGAAAAACACAACCCAGAACAACAAACACTTATTTATGATTCATTATTTCCGTTGTATTTCACTTCTTTATTAAATGTTCTTAAAGTATGTTCTTCTGATAGAAAAATGATTCAAATTTCATAGCAGAGGATAAACTCACTTGATATTGTTTTACTTGAATCTTCCCATTGATGTTTTTGGACTGAAATTGATCAGTCTCTTATTGGCATATGTGCATACTGTGTGTATGCCTCGAAACGCGCGTCCTGGATTCCATTGCTAGCCACTATCCATCTTTGCTTATAAGAGGATAAACTGTTTAAATTTTTTGGTAAATAAATTAAAAGTGTCCATAATAAGAAAGCATAACAAACAGTAACAGAGATTAAATAAAAATTAGTTTTGAAGTAGAACATCAAAAACTTAGTCAAGCAAAAATGAAAAAGAAGAAGAAGAAGAAGTAAACACAATGCATACAGAAAAGGAAGAACAAGGAGAAAACAAACCAAATTGTGAAAAAGTCAACAAGAGACTTATTCTACATAAAAATGATGTTATAGAACATATAAGTTAATAAATAGTTCAATAGAAAATGAACATGTTGAAATAACTGAATCATCACATCGTGTATTGATAAGACTCGTGTACAATGTTAACATATATGACCGACTTTATTGTATGACTGCCTTAATGACTAAATAACCTTTTATTGATTTATTTATGATGTTTAGGTAATATTTTTAGTTATAAGAAAAAGAGAATTCAACGAAGAAAATTTTCTTTTCGACGAAATCGCTGAATTCTCTTTTTCTTATTCAATGGCACTATGGGTTATTTTTAGTTATCTATGTAGATGCGTTATATAAATAATTTAGACATTTCACAAATGGTTTATTGTGTCTAGGTTGGAATATAAAATTTATATTGATTTATAAGCTTTTAGCGATAGGTTTAATTTATAGACAATTTCATCATTACAATAGTTGAAATCATGAGTCAGTTGAGGCTAGACCACCATGAAAAACTTGGAAGCACTGGACGGCCGTTTCTTCCTAGTATAGAACTCCTCATTATTGATCGACATCAATTATTGAGCTGACAATACCAAGTTCAAACCCAGTTGTTTAAAACGTTATGACCTTTGTTCTCGATGTGCAATAGGATCCTTAGTCCTGGGATGTACTATGCTAGGGTAAACAACTATTCACTTTGTCATGGTTCTTCATAGTTTATCAATTGATGTTAATCTATGACTTAAATTTGTAGACAGATGAATTCTTACTGTGTGACTGAATTTTTAATTCAATATTCATTTTATAAATAAAATCATGATTAGATCATAGTAACGTTGAATCAAAATGAAAGTTATGCAGTTATCATACTCAATAAAACACTCGATTTTTGAGTTACCAGAACTTATATATATATTGTATGGATTAATATGTTGCTGTCCAAAATTTCATTATTTTTATTATTTCTGGAAAATAAGGGAGAGGAAAGCGTGTTTTTCTCTTCCCTTTTTATTCCCCTCTCCATTTTATGTTCTCTATGCCCAGTGGATAAAGGAAGTGAACTCGGATTATCCATATCAACTAATAATTGTTTACAATTTTTATTGTTATTATTGTTGTGTCAACATTCGCTTTCACCAATTCCTACTCCTTTTTTTTCTGTTTTTCTTTGTTTCATTTCATTATTTGCCTAATCCGTTGCTTCCCTTTAAAGAACTACTTTTCTAATAAATGTAACATTTTTATTCTGTTGTTATTATCTTTTTCCTATTTGCATTTCATTAAAATAAGAATTATCATTTTAAATTAGTCAGTCAATCACAATGCAAATAAGCTGACTAACTCTTCTCGTGTTCATCAATCAGTTCATTTTAACCTACTTAAAGGAATTAGTGTCGTAGAATCTGTTATCAATATATATTTTGGTAATATTGTTCAAATAGAGAATACATATTGAAAAAAAAGATATTTGTGACACGTTGTAACGTTATTTTTTTCTCAAACTTTGGGCCAAAATCACTAAATCTTTATACTCGATTCATGAAACTTTAAAACTACATTGAAAAGAACTTCTGAAACTGTATTTTGTGACTTTTAGTACTAGAATCCCATATACTTTACTTAATACTTTATTTCAAGGTGACACATACTGTTTATTCTTTATATAAATATGAAAGTAAATTTTTTTCTAAACAGAGATGATAGTGGCTAGCAATGGAATCCAGGACGTGCGTTTCGTTCTATGCAGGACTCATCAGCTGGATGTATCTACATCACAGAGTTGATGTCCACTCCGGGACTCGAACCAAGTGCCGTTCACTTCAAACGCCATAATGTTATCTACTTAGCTACTGAGTCCAGAAAGCTACTATCTTGTGCAATATGGTAAAGTTTAATTCAGTTTTGCATTGTTTGTTCAAATAGCCACCATCCATCTTTGCTTGTAATGCTTATGAATTAAGACAGCAATCTGCAAAGTATGCGCATATGCCAATAGGAGACTGATCAATTGCAGTTCTAAACATCAATGAAGATATTCAAACAACCAATGCGAAAATGAATTAAATTTATTTCTGCTTTGTATTTATTTACTTATTTATTTTTCACTTGTATTACCCAAAATGTTGGGTAAATTGTATGTCAACAAAAACTGATATCAAACAGTAGACGAGTTATCTTCTAAAGAAAAACTTTTTGGTCAACACTTATCGATTAACTGAGAAATCATGTCTATATATTTCTCATTGTTACATCACCTGATAATTCAAAATGTATCTAATATTGTAAACAGAAATGAATGTTTTAAACAATAGAACTGGTTGCATATCTTTGCCTAATATTTTCAAGATGTTATTGTCATAGTGCGTGCTTATATTTAATATTATTATTACCAGTTATTTGCATTTGTTTTCACTACCTATAAGTTTTTCTGTTTATATCTCTCACCTTTTAGCTTATCATACTTTTAGTGACGGCTGTCATATTATGGTCAGCTATCGCATGCCTAGTTAGTTACCCAGTCGTCAGTATTGCGCTCTTGTTATACCGAAATGAAGGACCTAGTCGTTTACGACTAGCCTCTGTCGGACAAATGACTTCAGCTTACCATGATGGTCAAGTGAATTTTCTTAGTCCAAGCAGTAGTTATACACGTGAAATGTTCAATACCAATGGGAAAATAATAAAACGACGTGATACAGAAGAATGGTTTCCTAATCATCCTAGTGATTTCGATACAGATGAAAGTACTATTGCCATACCGGATGATATTCAAGATAACCTTCAAACAGATCCATCTACTTTAAGCAGAGATCTAACAGCTACGGTGACGAGTCCAAAAATGGTCGATCAGCCACCACCGGTGATAAGTTCATTTGTTGATGACAATTTACCATCATCGTCAATACCATCAAAATCGTCTTTAAAACCTTTATCAAAAAAAATTATAAAACAAGTAATGAATGATGCTCTTAGTATTCCAGAATCTATCAAATTGTTTCATCAATGTAGTCAAGAGACATTTGATTTATCTTATTACGGTAAGAAAATCTAATCATCTTTATTCTCATGTTAAAAATGGAATCAGAGTATTTTATTTAAAACTTAATGGAATAATTTCACAGAAATGAAGCATTTGATAAACAGTACATACATATAACTTGTATTTATCAACCTTCTACTATTAAAATCTTTTTTAGTCATATAGTGGCATCAACTTGAAATAAATTGGAGCACAAAATAGCCCTCCCATTTTTGTTCAAAAAAATTAACAAACACCCACAAAACCACTTATCTGATTGTAAATTGCATTTTTACTAGCGATGAGCATTTTCATAAGTTTCCTGAAGTTCTTATAAGAATCAATCAAACTGGGAGCGAAATTGATTCGCTGATTATATGTTTGAGAATTGTGTGATATTTCGCATTAGCTAAAGTTAATACAGTAAATCACAGAATACTGACTCAACGATCTAAACCCATGGTATACGCCTCTAGATCAATAGATCCTGACTTCGACTGTATGTATTGAATAATTGTTATGCGTTGCTCAAAATTCCTAAACTACGATAAAACAACTATGTCATTCCAGTTAGTTATATGTGAGGTTCTAAATCCGATATCAATTAGTGAAAGAGAAGTTTTCTCAAATAAGATAGCTATTACAAAGACACTGTTTAAATATTTAGGCGTTTTATAATGAAGTATACTTTGATCTTATTAAACTTAATTCTTTAGAAGAGACTGTTAAGGATAACTAGTAAGAATCTGTAATAGTAGGTTTTGTAATAGCCGGTCAGTCAGTCAGTCATCAAACGAAGTAGAACATTGTACGTACGTACATCAGTTCTAGTTGCCATACCATATTAGCACAGAGATACAATTGTCGATTCAAATCCGATAGTGGTAGAAGTAGTAAGAGTATAAACAGTAATCAGAAACATTAGGATTTGAAGATGTTATTCAAGGAGTATAATTCAGTAAAATAAATTTGGAAATACAACAAAAACGACATGAATAATTCAGAAGATTAGAATTTGGGAGAACACAAAGAGTGTGTGCACCTGCGCCATTGCAAACGATTTTGAGCCATGCCATTCAAGATCTTTAACCATCGGTTGCCATTATCTCATGGATCCCAACCAGGTAGTCTACACCTACCAATATGACTCAGTCCACTTGTCAGTGATTTCATAGATTTGTGCCATATTTTGGTCCGGCCGCCCCTAGCTTTCTTCCAACCTACTCCTACACCATAAAACATCGCTCGTCGGGACAGTCGGTGGGTGGGCATACGTAACAAGTGTCCCAGCCATCTCAACTGATGAAGTTTCACTACGTCATCAATTGATTTGCCATCCTTACCTAGTACCCGTTTCTTAACAACTGCGTTACTTAGTCGATGGTCCCATGATGTACGAACAATCCTTCGAAGACACCTATGATCGAATACTAGTAACCTACGAATATCCTCTACTCTTACTGGCCATATTTCACTACCATAAAGTAGAACGAAACGAACTGCTGCGCAGTAAACCCGTCCTTTGGTTGGTAGACGGATATCTAGCCTACGCCATAAATGACTCAAGTTGACAAAAGCTAGTCGAGCCTTTTGTATCCGTGCTGAGATTTCGTCACACACCAGACCACAAGGGCCGGTAGTCACAAGAAAACTATTTTCTTTCAATCGTAAGAGAATTAACCATCTAAATGTGATTATTATATATAAAATCGATTTACCAATAAGAATTAAACTGCCAAACAACTAACTTATATACTTTCATAATCTTATAATAACTACTTAATTATCACGGTACTAACGAATATTATTATTGTTTGATTTCTTGATTGTATTAGAATATCTTTTCACCTTCTAATGTACATGTACAAAATGGAGTTCTTTGATTAATAAATGTTTACTATCGATTTGTTTACAATATTAAATTGATGACGATAATAATAATAATAATAATAATCGTGTTGACATTTCAATTACGAAAGTTAACATTCTTCAAGAATAAAAGTTCTCGGTTGTTTTTTTTAAGCATAGACAATATAAAACGATCTTAGGAAAGAAATGTATTCCAATGATATTTCAACAATGAACTAATTATATTTATTCACAGTATTTTATCCTTTAAAATAAACCATTCGAAAAAGAAGAAAACCGGGAAGAATAATTTATTTCCTTTTCTTTTCATATATTTGTTTGTTTGTATTAAAAAACAAACTAAATTATGTTTACCTTGGTGAATAAAATAATAATAATAAGAAGAAGAATGGTAATTTTGAAATAATAGTACATTTTTTAGTTGTAAAAATGAAGATGAAAGACTTTTTCTCTTTATATAATTATCGCTCTGTATGTAATTGTGTATACAAAAGACAAATTCAAGAAATGTTCGGTTGAATTAACTTTCTTTTTAAAAAAAATAAAGCTTAGAAAATTCGTGTCAATTGACGATAAAACACAAAGAAAAATTTCATTTATCTCTTTAATAGAACAGTTTAAATGTATTTACTTGAATGCTAAGTTACTAGGATACTGAAAATTGTTGAAATAAAACTGTTTATACTATGAATTCAGTTGATATTGTTTGCTTTAATCTTCCCAATCGACGTTTAAGACTGCAATTGATCAGTCTGTTATTGGCATATGTACATCTTGTGCCATTGCCTCAATATTGCCTTAATTCACAAGCATTATTAGCGATGATGAATAGTGGCTAGCGGTGGGATCCAGAACGCGCGTTTCATTCTATTTGGAACTCGTCAGCTGAATGTCCCTGCACCTCAGAGTCCACCCTGGGACTCGAACCCAGTACCATTCGCTATCAAGCTTATAAATTAAGGCAATATCGAGGCAGTACACACAGTATGCACATATGCCAATAACAGACTGATCAATCGCAGTCCTAAAAACATCAATGAGAAGATTGAAGCAAACAATACGAATTGAATTTAAATTCACCCCATTGCACAAGCAAGTGGCTATCAGAACTCAATAGCTGAGTGTGTAACGCGATGGCGCTCGAAGCGAATGGTACTGGGTTTGAGTCCCGGAGTGAACATCAACTTTGAGATGCAGATACATCCAGCTGACAAGTCCCAGATAGGACGAAACGCGCGTCCTGGATTCCACTGCTAGTCACTAGTCATCTTTGTTTATATTATAAGTTTATCCAAGTCATATGGTATTTTTCTTTGATAAGTTTTGTTCCCTGAAATCTTAAAACGTTAACTTCTTAGCCAATTCCTAGATTGTCACAATCTTGAACTTTCAAACTCTGATTGAATTTAGAAGGTGAAAATATGAAAGAATCTTTACTAATAGAGTTTGTTTAATTTTACAAAATAAAGAGTATTTATGAAATTATGAATAACCTTATAAACCTATAGAAAATTACTCAGATTCCGAATTAATTTGGTACTTAAGCAATTAGAGATTAATCAAAATTAATTTAAGTTACTTTACGGCTTTTAATAAATTTTTCATAGAATTATGGATACCTTTTCACAATTTCAATAATCTAGTTTCACGCATAACTTATAAACAGTGATTAGGAGAAGGTTATTTTATCACTAAACAAATCCGTATTTTCGTCAAGTAACGTTTTCAGGCAAATGAGTAAATATTTAAAAGGTTTATTCTTTCTATCAATATGATCTGCATATTTATGAATAATGAAATCTATTATGATAAATTGGTGTGTGAAAGATATTACATAATGAGAGAAACTATAATTCATTTATACATAAAACAAACACAAATGAAGATTACACACTTTTAGATGAACAGTAATCCCTATTAGATTTTAGAAAAAAAGAAAGCTTCAAATGAAACTCAATAATTAAACTATAATCATACAAAAAAAATGGATTAGTAATATTTTAGTCAAACTATAATCTGAGGATATCAGCTACTTTACGTTTAAGATTAGGAACTCCCAAATATTCAGATAAAACTACTTTAAATATAAACTGAAAAACTTTTAAAGACTATAGATAAGGTGTTTTGACTTCCTTTTGAACTTCCCCATAGTGAGCATTGACTTTGTAGTGAAACTATACAAATCTTTATAAGTCATCTATATTCAGTGTTGAAAATTGGCCATCATACTTATTTGTTTTCTTAAGTATATTTTCAGTGTTTTTATCACTTAGTCACGTCATTCTACTCATTAGTACATATTCTCTATATTATTTATTCGCATTTGTCCTATTTTCTTTCATACCCATGAATTTCCATCATTCAGGATTTATTTGGTCTGCAAAGACACTTGAATAGTTTAGAATAAGGGATCTTTTAATTTTCACTTTGTTTAACCATGAATTTCCATACGATTTACTTTCGTCAGATCAAGAAACTTATTTGTTCAATGCATCTTCATATTGTTATCGATACATAATTTAAAACAAACAGTCAAAACTAATATAAGATATTTAAGAAGTTTACTCAAGAGTTTTTAAATAACATGGTATATAATATATCTGTGTATATGCTTCATTATTTGTTTTATCTTTTATTTTTCAACTAGGTCTATACGATGCTAATGGTTTACCGATACATATTGCACGAGCTAATTTCTCTGAAAGAATATATGATATTTTAGTCTGTGTAATTCTCGCTATCGCTGGTATATTCCTATTACTGTTCGGTTATGTAAGTATATGAGCGAAAATCAAATTCAACTTCTTGGTGAAATGATAAAATGTTATTTTGTATTTTCTATTTCAGAAAAGAATTAGGTGCCGTTTAAATAAAGCTTTAAGATATTTTACTACTTACTATGTATGAGTAGTAAAATAAGTCAGACTTTGTTGGATCTTACAAGATATTGTTTACTTGTAAGACAATCGTCTGATCAAAAAATTCATTTTGTTATGAAAACTTCTTTATTCAATGAAATGAAAGGCTGTTAATCATGTGAATAGTTTTTATTTAAATATGACTTATTTATTCATAAATATAAAGGTGTTTTTGTCTGTGACAGTAACGATAAACTCACTTACCTTAATTATTTAATCTCTACATTGATCAGAAGTGAATGAACTTTTCATTGTATCCACCATGTCACAGTAGTAAAGAAGAATGGTCGTTTTCAAATGTCGTCGATTAAAATAAACAGGTGAATTATTACTAAACAACTGATGACGACAATAATGAACGGGTCCGAAAGTATCTTTGTTTGGTATTTAACAGCTGATTAGTCGCAACTTCAATTGATATGTTACATCTACTGAAGAAAAAAATAAATGAAAATAATGCCGGCTCAGTGGTCTAGAGATTAAGCGTTCGCCTGCAAGACAGATAGGTCCTGGGTTCGAATTTCGCGACGCGGGATCGTCGATACGAACTGCTGAGGAATTTCTTACGAGGACGAAACGGCCGGCCAGTGCTTACAGGTTTTCCATGGTGGTCTAGTTTCAATCGACTCATGATATCAACTGTTGGAAATAGTTTTGTTTGTCAAATGTATTTTACAAAACTTTTATTAACATTACTTAGGTTTAAATAACAAAAATATACTGAAAAAAAGGCAAATGGCTTGGTTTCTAAGATTAAACCTTGTAATAGAAAAACACGATGACTTTATTGTTGAAGCAGGCTTGTTTATCGTGGTGTTACTTTCAAATCAATTAATAACAAAATTACTTGCCGATTGGAATAAAAACTGTAAGAACTTTCAAATCCTCAGTCTTTATTTGCCATATTACATCGAATATTATCCGTAATTACAGTGTCAACTGTGAAGACTAACTAATAACAAGTAATCGTGAAAATACAGGAATTGTTAGATGGTGCATATGATTTTAGCAAGAAAATAATTTGACTTGACGAAAAGGCTTTCATCAAATTTCTACACAATGCTATAATCTTTGTTGCCTCATAACAATCCATTTTGCAATTTTGAGGTCTTTTATCATCTAGTTAAATTTAAAGTAATTTGGTTATATGAAGATCGTTCTACTTATTAAGTCGGAGAAAAATATGATCGGTAAAATAAATACAATTTAATGATACTATTGTGCATTTACTAGTATCGTATATATTGAATTACATTTTTAGTATTTTTGCCAATAATATGTTTTTACTCATATTTCTTATCATTACAGATACAAATAATTATTTGTACTGCTATGAATTATGCTCGAATGCAAGAGGCTAGATATTATGAAACATCTGATGTTGGTGAAGAAGGTGTTGCATTACAACAATAAAATACACTTCATAAAAATAATTCTATAATTTCATTAAATATAGTTCATTATGATTTCAATCATATTTACACTATCCTTCATATATACAATTATCTACTTTAAAATTTACCAACAATATTAATGCATAAATATAGGAAAGATTATCATTGCACATTGTATAGTTATTTGAATAAAATAAAGAATAAACACTTCCAAAAGACAGTTTTCTCATGAACAAGATATCTCTATTTATGTTCCAGAATAATCAATATAATAATAACAATCCTTCTTATCATTAACTTATGTAATATCTCATTATTTACATCCAATTTTATGTTTTTACTTTTAAATTTATCATTATTCATGTTGTTCTTTTTTGTACTTGTGTTATCTGTCATGTTTGTTTGTTTTTCTCTTTTTAAATAATTATCCAGTTGAAAAAGAAAGAAAAAAGAAAATAAAGCAAACGAAACATTATTTAGTTGCTTATTTTTTCTTCTCTGTTCAATCATTCCATAGCTTTTCATCATTTACCATCTAAATATTATTTTCTGTTAGATAATCAAAAGAAACAAAAAACTGTTCATCATTTGAAAATCTATACGCTACATTTTAATTATTTAAATGACGTTCAATGTTTCAATTTTAAGAGAAAATAAAAAAAGAGGGAGAATGATTTAATGATATTTCCGCTTTTTTATTGGAATTCATCAAAATGTATTGCTTAACGCTTTAATTCATTTTACTTTATTTATATTAATTAAATAATCAACATTTTAGTAACAGACGAATACATATAAAAAGCTTCTTTAATATGTTCGATATATATATATATATATAAACATAGTTTTGTATTCAACATATGAATGTTTATTTTTACCATTTCATTGTTTTGTTCTTTTACTGATAAACAATTAATCAATAATAATTCTTAATTATAACTTTTTATTTACACAAGTTTAAAGTTTCAGAATTTGATTTTTTTGGTTTTGTTCTGTTGTTGTTGTTGTTGTTGAGTTTTTCATATAGTTGAAACAATAATCAATGATATTCAACCGATGAATGTTTAATTATTAATGAGAATTAAATACATATGAAGTTTGTTTCATATTATTCCTCATTCCCTCTCTTACTATGTGTGTTTGTGTGTTTTCTTTTATTTTTTACTGTGCTTGTTTATTTTAATTGATTATTTTCTATAAATTTTTGTTGTTTTTTATAAGAATATTATTATTACTATCAATGATAACAATAATAATAATAATAGCAATGAAATCAGAAGGAGTTTTGTGGATTTTATAATAATTTCAATATTTGAAACTCCTCAGCAGTTCGCATCCACGTTCCCACCTCTCGAGGTTCAAACTCAGAACCTATCGGTCTCGCGCGGGAGCGCTTAATCTCTAAACCACTGAGTTGGTTGAAGAGTCCCACAGTAGGGCAAAACGACCGTCTAGTGCTTCCAAGTTTTCTATGGTAATCTAACTTCAATTGACTCATGATCTTAACTGGTAAAATAATAGTAATAGTTCAAATGGTGTTGATGTAAATTATGTTTACTCTATAAAAGATTATTGTAAAATTTTGGAACAGATATCTAGCTTGCATACTAGTTTGTACTATTCACCAATCTTCATTTTTAAAAGAGTTTTCGTTTTTTCGAGTTACGAACGCTCATCACCTAGTGTAATTCAGAGTCGTTATCATTGACTACTCAAGCTACCATTGACATTCTGTAGGAATTATTTGTTCATATTAATTAGTTATTATGTATTTTATACATATTACTTGACCTTTACTGTGGGACTTTGCGTGTTTCGTCTCCTAGATATTTTTTCAGGTGAGAAACTTCCATATGAAATTTGTAAATGATATTCATTGAAATAATAATAAATTAGAACTATTTATGAACGGATCAAATAAGAGCTCACTGTCTGAACTCTATGGAATAAGTCGGTAGAAGATTGTGTTATTTTCTAAAAGGACAATTGCAGTAATACATACATAACACGATCGAGTGATTTCAGTTGACATATATCTGCATGCAGTTTAATTATTTCATATGGCTGCAATAATTAAAGGATTTCAGTAGTCGATTCCTTATATTCCCATTGGCTATTACTTATGCTGCGTACATTTATTTCCTGAGAAATAATTAGACAGTGCCCGTGATACCACAAATAAGTTCATGAAGATCAGTTCGGGCTTTCATATTTAAGTACATATATTCACTATTTGATAATTAACCATAGATTAGTTACCAATCTAGTTAAGTGAAATTTTCAAGGAATCAAACTACTCAATTCCCTAATTGCTAAGTATTACAAGAAATCACTTCCAAAATATGTCAATAGACTCTAAATATCTAAGGAATATTTCCGAATTCTTTTTCTTTGAGAGTCGTAAAAGTTCAAAATGTTTTCACAGTACGTATGTAGTGAACAAAACACCAGTGGGGACGATCGAATGTATTTGACAAGAAATTACAGAGCATCTCAATAAAACCTGAGAACCATATGGTAAATCGTTAATCTGCAAAATCTCAACCCATCATCTCAAACTTGACTGTTCCTGTTGCAAACATCAATCCATTGCCTCAGATTTCATTGTTCATGCGTTTTCATACCAATGGTGTTCCGGTTCCGTTCTTTCTTCATCAACCTTCTACTGAAATACATTCTATGCCTGACCACCGTTATATACTACTTGTGTGGATATAAGTAACTCACACCACACGTATAGGTAATAAGTGTAGTTTTCATGTAGAGTTAGTCAATGAGAGAGACATCAAAGTTAGGGGAAAATCTCTTTACTAAATTATATCCACGAAATCATTGATTTCAACAAATTTGTAATCTTTAACGAAAACCACTTGATTTAGTTTCTGTAAATGAAATAACTTATTTTTACTCTATATATAATCTATATTTACGTCACTGTCATATAGATTGACCGGGGAAGTACGACAATAGCATGTATAGGTAAATGTGCCTATGTTCCATAGTGTACTAAAAAGTGAAAAATCTGATCAATATCATGAAAACAGTATTACATCTGCTCGATTCTTCTCATTTCTTTCTTAATCATCAAATATCAATTGCTTATGTGATTCTGGATGTTAACTATCATGTTTGAAACTGCATCAAAAATTGTTATTTTATGATAAGCGGCCTAGTTAGTTTGCCTTTCTACAAATCAGCATTCGAGAAGCCACCACGATAGTAGGACAATGAATCTTCTTTATTTGACATTAATTTAACGTCTTCCAATTAACAATTACTTCATGTTAAGTGGAAATATTTTGTTATTCAACTGAAATTTTTTTCCATAGATTCTCTTTCTGCGACTTCTGAATTAAGATGGTCTACCATAATCTATTTGGTCATCACTCCTAAATTCGAATTTCACATTTGAAAATTATTCTTGAAGCTTATAGTTTTCTCCCTTCAATAATCCTACGTAATCTTATTTGAAATCATATCCATGGTTATGCAACCGATTATCAATTACTAAGTTTTAAACAAAGATGAATATTGTTCTGTGAATGAAGTCGTTTTAGCTATCTGACCCATTTTATGTGCCGAACATTTGTCGATTTGTACACAACATTTATACTATGTGTTAGGACCCGAGAAACATAATGAATGGTAACTTTGGGATACTTTTATGGACCAATACTGAAAGTATATTTTTATCGTATAATTGTTAAATAAATAAACTATTCATATTCATGTTCTTCTTATTATAAGCTTTATTTTGACCCATAGACTATTATTATACGTCTTACCATTCTTGAGTTATACCCAGTATATTAATTACTACCTCCCTCATTCACAGCCACATTTGGCTAATTCTTGTACAAATGTTGTTTCATATTTTATTGGTACGTTTTGGTCTGTTTGATTGGTATATAAACTCAGTATGTTTGAAATACAATGATTCATATTACAGAGGCTGAGACTGGTGTTTTGGACTTAGCTAGCTGGGCTAGGCGGAAAGCAGAACCAATCAGGACTCTAGGCTGCTCGCACGTGTTTTACGCGTCCTTGATTCGATCGATAAGTCACTGTCCTCTAATCGGCGGTCAAAAAATATAGCACTATGTTATATGAGAAACAGGATTAAAAACTTTTTTTCACTGTACGTACAAAACAATCTCGTTTTATATGATTTTATTAAATTCTGTGTTGTAACAAGTTGGTTAGCTAGTAAGACATTTATCCATAAAGCTTATAGATATTTCGTAGTCAGTTCCTTAATTTAACTTTGACGTTCTCGTACTGTAGTAAGTTTTCAATCGTCTACTGCTTGTTATCCTTTATCACTTTTTGTTTTGGAAACTAGTAATCCCACTGTGTACAGTGTTGATCATTTTGTAGATATTCTCTCACTTGATTACGGATAAAATAAGTTGTTAACAGTTATATATATATATATACTCGTGATGATATTTATCTAGTCTCTAAGCTCGACGAATATGTACGAGGTAGACCACACTTGACATTTGAAGCTTCATACATTCACTAGTGTATACATACTGACTTTTTCTTAGTTTACGTTAGAGTGAAATAAAATTTTAATAAATCATGCTCGCACTAACGCCTAATTATAGGTTTTAGTTCCTTTTTTGAGGTCTGAAATGAAGTTCGAAACGCGTGATTAAATGATTTAGTAAGACAATTGAAGTTACTTTACAAAAAGTTGAAAAAAATACAAATTTCTGAGAATGAAATTATAATATATATTAGAAAAATGTTGCTCATGTTTATTCCAAATCCGTAATAATATTCCAACGCCACACATTCATTGCATTTCACATACCATTTATCCTATAATCTACTTAGCTTTAATGTACATAATTCATGTCTTTTAAATCAAAATATGTAGTGTGTTAAGTACTCAACCTCATCAAAACATTATATCAACTTAATAATATTTTAACTACAGATGTGGATTTTACATTTTATCATTGTCAACAGTTGAAGCAATTCTCATTAGGCTAATCATAACACTACATTCGACCAGTATTTCAACTATTTCGTTAAGTAATGGAAACTGTGATTACTTACTTGCTTACGCCTGTTACTCCTAATAGAGCATAGGTCGCCGACCAGTATTCTCCAACTCACTCTGTCCTGGGCCTTCTTTTCTAATTCCATCCAATTCTTGTTCATTTTTCTCATGTCTATCTCCATTTCCCGGCGTAATGTGTTCTTTGGTCTTCCTCTTTTCCTTTGGCCTTGAGGATTCCATGTGAGGGCTTGTCTTGTGACGCAGTTGGGTGTCCCATTCACTTCCAGCGCTTCTTCCTCTGCTGGGATCTGGTTTGTTCTCTCCCACAGTTGAATGTTGCTAATGACTAGTATTAACTATTTCTTGATTACGTAAAAGGTTGTTTCATAAGAGGGTAAGATTCTTCTGTAGCACTCATACACGATACTTCACAGAATAGAATAACAAATCTTTATAGCTAAAGATAAGTACAATATTAATTAATCACTGATTTAAAAATTAGTAATCCATACTTTCCAATTGATAACATTTCCTTGGTTACAATGTTTTGATGACATTTCTATATGTTTTAAAACATTTTCCTTTTGATGTTTAATGACACCTATTAAAAAATTTATAGTTTAATCAAAAATCTAATTCAAACAATTCACTTGGTATTGTTTTGCTTGTATCTTCCCGTTGAGTTTTAAAACTGTAGTTGAACAGTCTGTTATTGGCATATGTGCATACTGTGCGTATGCCTTGATATTGACTTAATTCACAAGCTTTTTGTAAACAATGATGGATAGCAGATAGCAGTGGAATCCAGGACGCGCGTTTCGTCCTATTTTGGACTCGCCAGATGAATGTACCTACATTTCAGAGTTGATGTTCACTCTGAAACTCGAACCCAATATTTCTCACATCTTTCTAGATCTTTTATTTTGCTTATGATGATAAAATGATTTCTTATAACAGAAAATACATACTACATAATCCAATCACTGTATATACATAGAAAGTAGATATACCATTTTAATCTTATCTTGATCAATCTGTATAGATGAACTTAAAATACTCTATGATATTTTAGAATGAATTTCATAAGAAAATCCAACTAATTATTTGCTTTCTTATTGAATTCATTTAATGAAATCAAATACACAGATATAAAGGTTATTTATCTTCGGGATTTATCGAGCTTTGTTTTTTTTTTATGAACTGATAAAAGTGGTTTATTGTTAAACAGAGTTAATCACTATGACAATCAAGTCATTCTAATCTGTATA